CCAAAGCTTCGGCAAGGCGTACAAATGCAAGTTTTAAAAAGACTGCCACATGATTACTTTATATTAGCAGCAGTGTAGCTTCTCTATGACACTCTTGTACGTTGCACACAGTGTGGCTCCACGAGCCGAACTGTTCGCCGCCGACAAGCAATGCTGTCTGCGCAGCTAGTAGTGCCCCACAATTAGTTCGCTGCTAAACTTGATGCGATCAAATGGACCAAATTTATATATTAATTATGCCGATTCAATGCAACGATGGCGCTCTTAGACTCGCGCTTATTGGTTGTGACATCATCCACCATGACCCTCAATGGAACAGCAAATTACTAGAATAGGGAGATCGTCTGAAATCTCGCAGTACAGATCCATAGCTTGTCCCATATGGCCACAGCTGAGTGATTCAAAAACAAATTTTGTGGAAAGATCGGTAGGAGCGCACTAAGATGCGAGCACTTGAAAGTGAGTTTACCACCTGGGGGGCAAAATGTTTTCTCGCGTTGAAGTGAGGCAGACTGAAGTCGGCAAAACACTGGCATATAATGTCTAGATAGATTTTGATTTTAGGGAACAAAGGGACTCGCATTTTGACTGAACACGCTGGGTAAATGGCAGGCGAATACAGCAAATTCCATTGGCCAGTTTGCTGGACATCGATGAGTCCGACAGTGTCCGCCAACTCGTCTTCAAGAGCACATCCAGAGCACACGATTTTTCTGTGCACATGCCTACAGCGATACTTACAGCAGACCCCATTACTTGTGCTTCTGGCAGGTGCACTGTAACTTCTGTTTCTGGCCGCACCAGTCATGCTAGTGACAGCTCACCCGACGACTCAGCAGTGTGAATGCTTGTTAAATTCCACCTTTGCATTCTTCTTAATGCTTTTTCTTCAGTGCATGGAACTTGACAGCCTCTTCGATTTGCAGATCTTACTCACTAGCTAGCCTGCCCTTGAGCAAGCGTCCCCACATCGTTGCCAACACTGCATGCGAGTCTCACCTGTCTGCCCAATACGGCTAGCCACACCGTCGCAGCTACACTGTTTTGGGAGTTTTTCTACGTTACTTCAGAGAAAACGTCCCTACTGAGAGTCGTAATGCAGTGTCTGTATTACAAATGCCTACAGTTACAGTTACGTATGCCTGTTTAGCGCCTCTCCCGAGTCTGGCCCTTCTATCCTCGTTTGACTGAGTCTGCCATTGCCTATGATTGGCCATGGGCTTACCACACTGAATTCTTTGGGTAAAAATGCACCTGGTATTAGTCGGAGATATTCCCACAGCTCAGTGTTTTGAGAGAGCATATCATAGGCCGCCAGAATTGTGAAAGCACATTGTAGCAAGTTTTGCGGGCTTTGCTATGGAATTAGATCTTTATTGAATGCAACTAACTTCCTAGCGTGCGTGCTTCTCTATAGTTTAATTCCATGTCCGATTGCTTTCTACTTGATCTTCACGAATAAACGCGCCGTTGTCCTAGAAGCCTTACAGAGTTCTGCTTGGAGGATAGGGGCCAGCGGTGAGGAACCGAGTAAAACATTGTCTATTCCACGTGCTAATCTCCGAGCCAGGTGTAGGGATAACGTATTGTCCGCAAGTATTTCTTGCGAATACAATGCTAAATTGAGATGCGAATTTTTTGGAGGGGCCGAATTTGCCCGCGAAAATGAGAAGCATCTCTGCCTGGGCTTTGAGTCAGAGAGAGAAATATTATGGCTTATGGGTACGACAGTGGATGCTTCCATTTTATGAAAAACGCACGCCTTTTTTTTATTAATATTGCAAAGGCTTTGCGTCCTGTCTTGTGAGGCAATCGTTCACTAGAAGGAATGAAACTAATGACGAGGGAATCGAGTGGCCACGTCCACGTGCACAGTTCTCGTCGTGTTATAGCACCAAGCCCTGCTCTGCCTTGTAGCTAATAATATGCAGTTTCCTCAGCTGTGGCTGAGCCAAATTTTCTGGAATGCCGCTGAGGCTATTTCAAGCAAACACCAGTAATGGTGCTCAGCTAGTAGTTAAGCTTCCAGGAAGCCGACTCCCCAGCGACAGCTCTTTCTTGAACAGCGAAGAATTATATTTCTAAAATTGACTCATTCCTCCTAACATGAAGGAATGGTGGTGGCCACCGGAGTAGTTTGTGTGTATGCCTTTGGAGTGGCGCAGTTTTGATTGGGCGCACTTGCCTGAGTGCATACTAACCCTGAGTATGTACTCACGTGAGCTGTGTTAATCTTTTCCGTATCACCATTGAATACAGATGCGTTCAAGTACGCTCTTTGAAGGCAATACCTGCGCCCTCGTTCACGCTTGAGTACCTGTTGGCTTTACCGTTTCAGAGTGATGCTATGATGGCGAAACAAGAGATGCCTCTCCCTGCAGCACACTCCGCCAGATACATCGTATCCAAACAATATAAGCTAGTGACAAAAAACTGGAGGAATGACAATGCGTTTGGGAATCTTGATTGCAACACTAGAGAAGTGGCCGCAAGCCTCTGTAATGGACATTGCAAGCCATTAATGAGCCTGAGTGCACTGCTATTTCCTACAAATCTTGCGATTCTGGGGCACACCCCAGTAGAAAAGAAAGTAGCTGCTGACAGTAAAAAGCTTCGCATCAGTACTCACCTCTTGGGCCGGTGCAGCAGCGTGAATGGCGCTGTTTCCGAGAGGTGACCCGCGGAGCCATATGCAGATGCATCAAGTCGAAGGTTCGTGAACTCTCGATAGCACGCTGGGATAACGTAAGTAAAGCATTGGGTTTTGTTAGATGATTCTCATAAGTTTTGTTCCGGGCTGCCACTCAACATAAGTACAAAGCTAGGCAAGATAATTTCTATCATGCTGAATTCTTGAATTTTTCGGCGATACATTCAGGTGCATAAAGCTGGTGACCTCAAGGAAAACGAAGAGTTCATCCCCGATCACGGCTTAGTGAAAGTGCGGCAGAGGGTCCTGGGTGTGTGATAACGCAGCGTCTATTTCCCTCAATCTTTCAACTTCACTGGGATTTGAGTTGTCAAGCACCGAGGGAGACAACTGCTGCTCTGGAACGCCCACCCACATGCTGTGGCCCTCGAAAAGCGGAAACTGCCTGGTCATAATGTCCCGTTCTGCCAAACAATGTGCATATTCAGGGTCAACGAAGGCATGCATGCATGAAGAGAGCTATAAGGAGACGCTAAACATAATTTCGAGTCCTTATAAGCCATGTGAATATTCAATAGCAGCGAAAAGAGAGTGAGGGCAGCGTTAGCAACGCAGAGTAAGAGAAAAATCTGAAGCTCTGCCAAAAAGTCAAAGATTAAACGCAATAACAGTCTTCCTTAGCATCATTGTTGATGCTGTCTTTATTCCTTCGATGAACAATGCCCGTGCTTAGATCATTCTACAGATTGAGCCTTTGTGACTGCGGCCTTCGTCTAACGGGAAACTTCTTCATCGTTCCGAACTACGTAATTTTTTGACCACACAAGGCAATCGTTTATAGAAGGGCCCCTCATACATATACCTTGAATGGCCAGGACTGACCCACACAATGGACTTTCTTTAATTATTAGGAAGCCCTGGCTAACATTGCTTTTCGCGTTCCTCGTCTCCACCAACGCCATAATCTGCAGATAAGAAAAAGCAATTGATTAACTTTTCTGAATAGCACCCAACCTCTGGGTGCTACTAGAATGCTTTTTAGACACTTCTTAGTCACGCTGCACTTTGCTTGCCAACAACGTTCGCTCGGTAGATCGAAGATGCAACCCAGGGCCTTATTACGTTGAAGTAAGATTGGCAGGCCTTCACAGCACACGAAGTGCTCCAAATGTTCAATAGCTACTTACGCAGAGCAGTAACCAAGCTGAAGGTAACAGCAGCATCAAGCACGAGCAGCAAATAGAGGCTGCAGGCAGAAGCAGGAGCACGCAGCAGGCGTGTCAAGCAGCAAATAACAGCTACAGCAGAAAGCAGCAGTAGTGCACCCAAATGAAGGCCGGTTAGACGTGAAATGATTAGAAGACCTCAAAGAAAAACGGCCCGTTTGATGTCCAGTGTCTTCCATACAAAGTTATCTATGCACTGCAAATAACCAATGTCGCAACTGGATGTGTATGCTCGCACTGAGCTGCCACTTGTGGGTATTCCATACTGCTACGGCATGAAAATTGCTTGTCCGGAGACGATCTGACAACAGGCCTGCCTGTTGATCAGTTGCAACTTTACTATGATGCACGCTGAATAGAGTGAGGATCCCAGGATCGACTGTTCAGGAGTTTGTAGCAGCATGTGTTGCCCAAGAGCCGCTGAGAAGGGTAATCACGCACATTCATTTCCATCATAGCCGGGACTCACCACAAGCGTTCTTTCTAAAAAGCTGCTCCTTTGTTTCACTGGCTACTGAAGCGGTTAGATATCGCATAGCATCTATCCAAAAGCCGCGCTACGCGATTCATTACGCCTAGGTTTCACAGCGCTGTTTGCTGGCAATCCTGTGTGAAGGCCCAAATGGAACTCAAGCCCGGCACATGCACAAGAAACAGATACTTACTATTTTTCAGTGGAAGAAAAAGTTTTCCAGACATGCGTGGCTTCAGCTCTCACTGTGATGGATCGTGCCATGGGGTCACTTCCCGCCAGTCCCACAGGCAGTCTTGCTGCTTTCAAGACTGGTCACTGTGCCATAACACCACGCTACAAAAGCACTACAATTTTCTTGGAACTATATATTCGAGGCTTTTCAAAAAGGAAAGGACCCCTATGGGCTTTATGCATGTTGCTCTTAACACAAAGTTTTCATAAAAGAAGGCCTGAGGTCAGAACGCCGACTTTCCGTATTCCTGAGGATTTGGGGCTGATGCCTGCAGAAATCCTTACAATATCAAATAATTGCCTTTCCGCTCCCTACGCCGAACACACAAGGCCAACGTATTACAGGAGCGGCGACAGACGAGCGCCGAGCAGAGGTGATTTAGAACGCAATGCCGAGCGCTGATTCTGCGCGAAAAAGATGACGGCCGGAGCAGACGGGGAGGGCCATGAAGCTCTTTTAAATGGAGTTGGACAGGGAGAAGATGGGAACGATGCGGCCGACCTTCCTGCCAGCGATGGAGAAGTAATGCCTTCTGCAGCCACGCATGCAGCTGAAGGTAAGAATTACAGAAGAACCGCATGGCGGAATTCCTTGAATATCATCTATAGGATCACCCACAATTGTCACGTGTATGACTTGAATTAGCTGGGATGAAGGCACAAGGCGATGCAGGCTCGGCGTTCAAATTGATGCTGCAGACGAAGGACCACAATTGCATACTAGTTCGGCAGGGCAAGCACATGATTCAACTTTGAAACAGGAAAGAAGCTCAGAAAGAGGAACTGTAGGGCTAATAAGTGACAATGAGGATATTGAGCTCGCCGCCGTGGTTGGAGCAAACGGACAGCAACACGCTGTTCGCGGAGACCAGATTGAAGCTGCTGCTTCTCACAACATGAAGAGGGCAAAATTTGATGGTGTTCTGTCAAGCGAAAAAGCCATGGTTGCAGAAAATGCAGCATCAAAGGGGGAACAATTGCAACTAAGCACACAAGCACAATCACCGCACGGCCCATTGACAACGGCGGCAAAGGAAGAGCAACCACAGGCAGCACATGACATTGAAGGAGAAGCGGGTACTGGCAACACAGAAGACTGTGCACAAAGTGTAGACTCTCGTTGTAGGAAGGATTTGGATCGTTCGCAAGAGTATGCTGTTCCATTCGGTACTACCGCAGGCACCTTTACGAGTTTCAAAAATACCTCCGCTGTAGCGCTTGCATCAGAAGCTGCAGCTGCTTTGCTCTCTGCTGCAACGGAAAACGCTGTCGCAGCAATAGAGACAGGATGGAAGCCAAGTAGAGCACCGGAAGGACTTACATTAACGCCGGACAGACGAACCCAGAATGCTGGCGAGCCATGCAGTGCTTCTGCAAACCCTTCCTCCCTCGAGATTTTTGTGGAGGAGCGACGATTTCCAGATGCAACGAAACTCAACGACTTGCCTGCCGGTCTGCCTAGCGCAGAAAAGGGTGTGCCTGCAAGCGAAGAGGAGAAAGCTGAACTGCCTGCATTTGCTGATGAGGAGAACGTTGCGTTGTACAACGAGATAAGGGAGAAGCAGCAGCTCTTGTCTCAACGAGGGACAGATATCGGGCAGAAAGCTGAGCGGATAATGCTCATGCAGCAACATTTGCAGCAGTTGAAAGTTGAGGCACTAGATCTAGAAAAACTCGCTGCCGCAAAAGAAGCACACATAAGCAGTGACAAACGCATGGAGGGAATAGCGATCCGACAGGCCAGCAAGCTGAAGAGCGAGATACAGCACCAGCAGCAGCACCAACTGCAGCTCCAGGCTCGGCTTACAGGACTTCAGATCGAGATATCTAGAGGCCAGGAACAAATTGATTGCTTCAAGTTGCAAATGAAGTGGAATGAGGAAGAGCTAGCCCAGTGGCGTTCTGCTGCACACCAAAAAGAAGTAAGAAGCACGTCCCCAGGAGAAGCACACTTCTTGTTTTAGACACGGTGACTGGGCACAAGATGATTAGGGAATCGTGCTTCCGACCCCTTGAAAATGAATGATTGCAGTGCAGGGGAATAGTGGCTAGAGCTACACCTCTAGAACAAAGACGCGCTGTGCCCTTTCCAGCCTGCGCAAGCCTCCAACTTTCTAGTTTGTTCCCGTGCAGCTATCGATGAAGCCTTGTGGCTTGCTGCGTTGTGTAACCTTTCCTGGTGCTACTTGCTAAAAATTTGGAGCAAAGACGTTGATTTCTACTGATGGCCTTGAGCTGATCATGCACTGTTCAGGAGGACCTAGCGTGCATAGCCGAATTCAAGAAAAAAGACGATATGAGGGCTGCAAAGCTGATGGCCCAGACGGAAAAGATATCTGTCGAGGTGGCTGAGGCGAAAAAGCGTCTGAAGGAGGAGCAGACTGCCGCCCGTGCGGCAAGGGCAGAATTGCAGCGCTCATTAGAATATTTTGCGGAGCAGCAGAAAGACAGAGCACTTCTGATTGCTCAAGGGTGAGGCGATGGAGCATCTGTATAGGGCCACATTCACTTTCGAGCATCCGTGCAGCGCAATATAATCTGTTTAACAGGCAACAGATCGGGGGAACTGTAAGACATTTTGTTGTAAATTTTGGATTTGTTGCTTTCTTTTTGGGCCAGAGAAGCAACGATGGAAGAGATGTGGAGGAGTGATGCCCGGATTGCACGATCAACGCACTCATTTGAGGAGACTCAAAGAAGGCTGACACAACAGATGGAGAAGCTAAGTAGGATTTACAACTCTGTAACCTTTCCACGCGCCTGCACAGCGTCGTAGGAGTGAGCACGCGATGCCCCCAAATTTGGGGCATCTTTTTTGTATTGCTCGTTGATAACATAACGCTCAGCCTTCATTGCCAACCATGAATTCAATGCTGGTATGTGAGCAGTGGCTGCCAGGGGCTTCGCGACGAGGCAGCAGAACCAGAACAAAAGTCTCCTGGGAGAAGTAACCAGTTTGGAGCAACAGCTGGCATTGTGCAGGTCGAACTATGCAAGCGCAGCGATGGCGGTTGGCCAACTGACGGAAGAGGTTAGCGTTGATAAAGAATACACACATTTCTAGGTACATCCCAGGCTAATTCCCCCCCACAGGTATCCGCTGTCAGGCAGAAAATGAGGGATCGAGTATAGTGTGAACAACCTTCATTTCATCAATAATAGAGTGCTTTGGCAGCCTCTAGATAAAGGCTCTGGCCATGACTTAATGGTTGCTGCCCCAAGGCACTCGTGGCGGACGAACAGAGTTCTGCTATTCTTTGAAAACAAAGCATATGAAGAAACGGACCGTGTATGAGCTGCAATGTAGCAGGAAAGCGAACACTGATTTGGACTTTGTTTCTAGGTCGCCGGCCTGAGAGGGCAACTATCTGCTGCATCAACTAGGGGGAAGACAGCTAAAGTACAACTAGTCGAGCTTCATGAAAGCCTCGCTGATCAAAAGCAGCGCCTAGAAGTTGCGAATAAGAAGAAAGAGGCAGCAGAGAAAAAGTTGGCAAAAGAGCAGGAAAACGTTCGATCTGCTGGGGAGGCAGGGGAGGCCAGAGAGGCTTTTCACGCTCAGGTAGCTGCAAGACTACAGAAGTTGCAGCAGAGGGTCAAGGCAAGCAGAGATACCCATTTTGGAGTTGCGCAGAAGCTTGCGGAGGAGAAGGCAGCACTGAAGATGCAACGAGGTGCCTTGAGCAGCTCCAAAAGCGCTTTGAAAAGTCTCCATGTGAGATTTGGACCGTCTAGCAGATACTCCTTTCTTTAGGACTAGAAAGACGAATCCTTTCTTCTGGGATCGGTAGATTAGCACCCTGATATGCGCAACGCATTTGGCGCACGCGGAAAATATTTGACGGTTGCCTCGTACAAAGATGGTAGTTCTGCAGAGACCTTGTCTGTTTGTACGCATTAGATTCCTATCGCGTGCCGTTGTATGTGCTTAAGAGCCTAGCATGATCTATTTGCAAGCGCTGCTGCCCACTACGCTTCCCGCTTCAGGCCCAGCTCCAGCAGCACGAGGCGGAGAAAAGCAGACAACAAGAATTGCTGTACTCTATCGATTTTCAGTGCCAAGCAATGCAGAGAAAAGTCTCTCGTGTCTCAGGATACAAAACTGCAGCAGAAACCAAAGCTCTACAGAAGCAGATAAAGGAACTGCAAGCTGTAGGGAACCGCCCCATTCAGCATTTGCCCTTTATACCTAGCTCATGGCTGACATGTCTGCTCCTCACGCCACCAGCCCGCCGGAATTGGCTTTTCAGTCATGTGGTGTTTTATAATTAGGAGCTAGCGATTCAGCAAGAAGAACATTCGATGCTTTCCACACAAGTTAGACACCTTGACAGTGAACTAAGGTGGGACTGCTTTGGTCTGGGCAAACTATATTCCACACCACCACAGTTGACGGTGTGCAGCTGGCTACATCGTTTTAGTGTCATTAATCCTACTGGCATTTCGCTCCATGTGGATCTGCCAGGAAAGCGTATCAATCTTTCGCGAAGGCCGATGAGGAGGATAGTCGCTGCGCAAACAGCGTTGGAGACATCCGCCTGGCTTGCGCATCACTTGACCGAGAACTGCAAACTGTTATCAAGGAAAAAGAAGAACTGGTTCTTGCAGAATCTCTGAGGAAGCTTGAGGTGAGGCTACGCTTTGGAGGATAGGCTGTGTAAACAAGCTTTGCAACACGTGATACGACACAGCCAACCATAAAGTGCTCGAATTTTCTGGGATCGAACGTCGGTGGAATGGGGAAACAGAATGACATGCCTTTGCGTGCCTTTTCACTGTTATGTGCTGCCATCGTAAGGTCGCACGGCTTCATGAGGAGCTGCAGGCGTGTGCTGATGAATCTTTAGAAGCCGAAAACAGAAAACTGCAGCAACAACTCCATGGGCAGGAAACCCTCGCTGCAATGGACGCGGAATTAGATGGCGCTAGAGGACAGCTGGTGGGCTGTTAGCGCACAAGCAATCATTAAGCGCGGGGCCAACGAAATTCGGGCCCGTATTCTTCATCATGACAGGCCATTAGTTTGTTTAAGTCAAAACTACTACACGCCCTAAAAAAGGCGTCTCCACTTTAAAGTAAAAACCGCCCTATTGGTTGTAACTGAATAAAAATTTATATTACATTTTCTACCGGTGTATCTATATCAGTTCCGGTCATCTAACTGATCAGCTTTGAACATTTAACTTAGAGCGCATGCAACACTCTCGCCTTTTGCCTGAACAATATTTGTAGATCTGTCAATTCTTTAATTGCTCTTCTCTGCCTAGTGCAGTGACAATCTGATTTCACTGATTTTCTCTCACTGAAGAAAAACATTGCAATGTCCTCAACATCCTCCCCGTGAAACGGCCAGCAGCGACGCTGATCCGTTCCCCTATCACTGCAGTCTTGAATTCCTTCAACATTTCTACGCAGAGAGCAGCTGAGGAGGAGAGGCGGAGAATAGCAAGGGAAGCAGCAGAGCGAAGGTCGAAGATCTCCGCTCTTGAAGCAAGATACGAAAACCTTGTGCAGGTGAATGCGTAGACGGATTTACTTCTGCTACTAATGTGGGTGTTGCTCAATTCATGAAGCAGTACGCAGAGTTGCGCCATAAGATGCTCCACAGTTGGCTTTGTTGACGCCAATATTCTGCCAGCAGCTTCAGCCGACTGAGCACCACCATTAAACTTGTCAACAAATTATGGTATGTTCGTTGTTTGTCTCGACCTCCAGAGCGGCCAAACAACAGATGGTGGAGGCCACTCCCAGGCATACTACGTCATCCGTGTTGGGCAGGTATCTTCAGAAAGCTTTATAGCCCATTGAAGCTTTGCTCAGCTTGCTCACATTAGCCCCAGTAGAATCAGTAACCGGCATACCAGGCCTGGCTTGCTGCCTTGCAGCCGTAGACTCTCAAAGAGAAAAGGAAAAATGTGACTGATTTGGAGATTGTTCTTAGGGCCTTGGTGGCTGTGTACACCGTACAGGAACGCGAGGAATTGCAAAGAAAGGGTGCGGAGTTACACCGCAGGCTGCAGAACGCTACATCCGAGGTACAAGGCCTTGAGGCTTCGCTTAGGGATGTATCTCTCTCTAACGGCCGCCTGCGCACGAAACTCCAACAAGAAAGCAGAATTCTTAGCGTTTTACAGGAGAAGAAAGCGGAAAAAGAGGGAGCTTTGTTCTTCAGGAATCACGTAGTTTTCGCGCAACAGCAGCAGATCGGCGTTCTAAAGGATTCTCTCGAAAGAGAGCAGCGTTGTCTCCACCAGACGAAACAGATACATCAAGGGGTTATCGAAAAATTACGGGTGTGTTATGCTTTCTGGACAAACAGAAACCTGTGATGCCTGGAATAGCGGAAATATTGGCAGTAGCATCCTTGAAATAAGAAGGCGACCCTAAGTCTATGAAGCCATGCAGTAAATACAGCGCTTGTAGCTGGCTGGTGCTGCAGGAAGCAGATGAGAAAATGAGAAGCCTAGAGAAAGAGCGTCTCACTGTTGATGAGAAGCTGAGGCGGTCGCAACAACTGAGGCAGAAGCTGCAGGCTAGCATACAGAAGCGCCGACTAGCCGCCGATAAGACAGACCAATCCACAGATTCGATTCACGGAGGCGAATTTTGCAATGCAGAAATCCACTTTCATGCTGAATGCCTTAAAGGCATGCTGCAGAGCTTATACCGGACCATGGGGTAAGAAAGAGGACTGTGCCTAGCAGACTGGGCAGTGCATGCAATGAGCAACACGGAATGCGCGATGTTCAACAGTTGACGGAATGCTCGACTCACTCATGGAGCGTGCACACAGCTAAAGCGTACGGAGTCCAGCTGGTGCTCTCTACTTTCGCTTAGAGTCATAAGCATGTACCTAGCTCCTCATGCAAAAAGAGATACTCACTGGTTCCATGATGTTTCTGCTGAGTACATCCTGGCTGTAACTTAAAGGACTCTTGCTCGCTTTTCAGACCAGCTCTCAAATCCCAGCCGGAAATATTGGAAACTCTGAAACGGGCTTTAGGCAAGGGTGAGGATAATAAATGGTTTACTACTTGTCGTGACTCAACATTGCACTTTCCGGCTGTTTCACTGCACAACAACATTTAGCATTAGCCCCATTAGCCCCCGCATTTCTTCTCAGCGTCACTAAAAAGCATCAATTCCCCTTCACTTCTAGCGGTATTTCTAAGGTGCCATGCCATGTTCATACATTCGAGTGAGCCACTTGAAACACCACCATGGACGGCAAACGGTTGCACAAGCATAACTGCAAATAGAGAGCCAATAATCTGTGTGGCGAGCTGCAGGGCCCGCAGTTTCTTTTTTGCATCGTTCGCTCCCCGACGAAAAGATTCCATCAAGTGACACCATCTGAGCAACGAAAGGCAAGCAATTGCGTCTGCATTCTGCGGAGAACCTTGGTCACTGCACGAGCACAACTTGTACTGTTTGAGCACAAAAGTTGACCCTCATTCTTTGGTGAATGCAGCCCATATCTTCCTCTCCGCAGTATTCAGTTGGAGTGGCTGTGGTGCGGCACTGAATGCGTGTACTCTTCCGCCTGCATACCACACTGCCTGCCGGCAAGCAGCATTCTCCAATGAACTAAAAGAGCTTTACGCCGTAGGGTGGACGAAACTGTAGGCTTTCCGCCGGTCAATAAAAAGTTGTTTCGGATGGAGGCCTCGCTACTTGAGTAGACAACAGAGCAACCAGCATGCATGCCATCGTATCACCTTGTCGAACTAATGAAATGGGCGAGAGGAAGTCACTGTACCGGTAGTTACGTTAGCGTTGTCCTGGCCAGTAGTGTGAGCCGCTTCAAGTGGTGCTACTGTAGAGACTGTGAAGCGTTTGCCTGACTGCTCTGGCCTTGTTCATGCATGGAGTTCCATTGCCGCGGCACGCGTGTCAGTTTTGTAGGCCCCCAAACCATCAGAGCACAGCTTTGCAATCTACGTTTCTTATACGCTTTGTGAGCTGGCAAGTTTGCTCGTTGATAGAACGAGTTGGCAGCCCTCAGCTCATAGCACTTTGTGGTGAGGCGCTTCTGGAAACCCGAGGCAGCCCTGGATACTCACAGCAGAGAATGCCTACAGCAGTCAAAGAGGGTGTGTGACTGCAAACTCCACAATCCGTTATTCTAAGTGTACAGTGCAAATGTGCCTGCAAAGACCAACTTGGCGGGCGTATACTGTGCAGCAAATTTTTCGGAAACTGAATAATCTGGATGGACCCTAGGACATCTCTACATCTGCCCCTGTTTGTACTGATAGTACTGCGACACGCCGCATTGAGGAAGCAATGCTTTCGATTGAATATCCTGCATAGGAAGGCAGACCAGTAACAATGATTCTGAATTGTTTTTACCGGTCTACCTTCTTGAGTGCAAGCGCGCCGGCGTTCTGACCAGCTGGAAGTATCTGTTGCGTTTCTGACTAGAACACTTCTGAAGGGCACCTTCGAGTGCTGCACTGGACTCTAGCTGCGCGTGACTACACGCCGAAGAGACTAAAATGCACAAGTACTCCTCGGTGGTCTCGAGTGTGGTTAACAGAGGAGCGCAAAAGGTCCAAGGCGAGGCAATTCGAGCATATTTTCTTGCATTCGGTCAACTGACCAAGCCATCGATACAGTATGTAGTGCTTGTTTACCAGAGGTGAATTGAAAGCAAATCAAAGTAAACAGCCTTGATATTTTGCTCATGTGGAGCTGCACTTCATGAAATGCTTAGCCACCTGGCTAAAGTGACCTGCAAGATCAGCACAAAGGGGCTTCACTAAAGTTTTTGGTCTTATGAGGGGATTCTTATGTTTAATCAAACGAGATGAATACTCCACGACACCGCGCACTCGTTGGTAATTCCGCGTGACACGCACGAGACCGTCAGGCTGTCTATTTGAACAATTTAAAGAAGTTTTACAAGAGAAGACTTGAGGGAATTATATTTTCCTGCTAAGAGGTCCGAGCCCAGTGTGTGGTGCTTTTACCAGCCTATTGATGGAGGAATCAGCATTCACTAATATTGCTAGAGGAGGGACACCGTGACATACCTTCCTTGTAGAGTGATGTCTCCTGCATGCATCTTTTCTTGGTAAGCGAATAGACTGCAAACCACTAAGCCTGCCTTCAGCATCCGCTGAACTGGACTGCACAAACAAAGTGCGGGGAAGCAGGGGAATTTGAAGAGCATGCAGGCAGGCACTCCGCAGTGCACTAGCCGATTGCAAGTCCCATAACTGCATAACGGAGAATACAAATTAGCAAATATAGCTCGATGGTCATAGTAGCAGTCAGAATAAGACATCGAGACTGTTAGTTACTACCTACCACGGTGTGAGGTCACCTCCGCTCACTCGCTTGAGAAATTTCCTGTGCTGTTTCCGCGCATTAAAAAGGAATTTCACAAAATTAACGTATAAAATGCTGCCTTTAAAAACAAATTAAGATTTCCAATCAACATTTTACTCGTTTCACCAGTAGGAAGCTGCTTCTGCCGTTCACTGCTAGGGCGTAGGGCCAGGATCTAGTCCAGCTGTTAGAAAGCCACACGTTGAAGATCAGATACTTACCAAAGGAGATAAAGTACCAATGAAATCAACTACTTAACAACTGTGAATTGTGTACGTCTGCTCATCTAGAGTACCCAGTAGACTGGCATACCTTCTTATTCCACGCCTCAGCACGTTCAGACTGCAGTGAACATTGTGCGACGTCCTCATAAATGCCACACAAAACATTCAACTTCTAGTCACGGTACTAAGAATACGCGTGTATACCTGCATCATGCTCAGAGCACCGAGCCAATCACAAGGGGCCTAGAAATCTTGTTGCCCTTGCAGCCCTCACCTAGCCCGAAGTGCTTCTCTTCATACGCAAAACGTGCTTCCGAGTGAGTGCTCGAGCACTGCGGTATTTTTCTGGAATGAAATGCTACGCAACACTCCCATTCAGCAGCAATGACTAATTCCCTCCCCTGCTGGCGGCCTTCTTTGCTGCTGTCATGCGGCTCAAATGCAGAAGCCTTCTCCTGTTTCTCTGACGGCTGCATCTGCGAACTCTCTGGGGAACATCTGCGCGTCACAGACTCCCAGGGACAAACAGAATACATTAAACTTGGCGGTAATCTCGCGACGGACGCCGAAGAACCAACGGGCGCACACCAATGTGTATTTGTGTCTTGCACTAGTTATGATACAAGCAAACTTCTGGCAGTGGGCGCCTCTGGCATCGAGGGAGAGGTCCTGCTCCTTCAGCTCTCTTGCATTCCACCAAAGCGCATTTGGAGGCAGAGAATAACGGCTGCAAGCCCAGTGGAAATCGTTTCTCTCGATTTTTCACCGTGCGGCGGCCGGCTGTTTTGCTTATCGTCGACTTTGGAGCAAGCCAGCGGCCAACAAGGACACGTTATCACAACCCATCATGTCAATGTTCTAAATGCATCAGATGGGTCGATACAGGCTTGCCACACGCTGCAGTGGGACGACTTCGCCTCCTTCCCGAAGAGGGTGCTCGCTGCAAGTGGAACTGCCTTCGCTGTACTTTCAGAGACAAATCTAGCTACCCTGCAGCTGGTTGATAGTCCAGAATGCCGGTTTATTACAAGTGGAAATCTGTTGCCACAAATGTCTGGTGCCGCTGCTGGCTTGGAGAAAAATGTAACACTTTGCGGAGCATGTTGGGTAGCTGCTGGCAAAAAGGAGACTGATGACAACAATTGTAGTAATTTCCTGTTTCTCGCCTTCAGCAACAAGGTATTCCTAGCAATCGGAGTGAGATGTAAAGACCCTGGGGCCCCTTTTCTGGCATGGATCTCTAGTTCACAGGAAAAGTACGTTTCATTAGCAACTGAGAATGAAACAGGCGTGTTATTTGGCTTGACAGACTCGTCTGTCCTCCATACCTACAAAATTAATGAAAGATTAGCAGAAGCCCTTTCACAGAATGCTGAAGTAAGCGAACCGACTCATGGGAGAGTTGAGAAAAACCTAGCTAGTAGCAACACAGGACCCTATAGTTTAGTATTACTCGTTGCAGTGCAGCAAATTCAACTTGTTATCGGCGTTCACAGCTGAAGAAAGCTACCAGACTGTCGTTGTGACAGCATGTGCTAGAATATGTGGGCACGGCTGGAATGCAGGAAAGCAGGGCGAAAGAGCTAAGGTTCCACCTCGCCCAACTACAGCAGGACCACGATACCCCATCTCTAACTGCGGCTAAGGGGAGAAGCCAAATTTCCACCCCTGACAGTGGCAGTTTTGGGCCGCTAGTAGTACTGCAGCATCAAATCAGAATTGAGATTCCGATGTCAAAAGGCTCGCGTGAAGGAACAACTTTAAGCAAGTGAGTTGGCCAAAAGTAGATGCAGCGCACCACTTCATGGCTGGCATTGTCTTTTCCTCCTGGTATCTTTGTCCCTTTGAGCTGGTACTGATAGTGTTCCAGAAGAAACTGTCTCAGATTACGAATCATAGGGCTTATTCGAAAGGAGACGTCCCTTATGTCAATTGGCAGAAAGCTCTTGAACACCGCCTGCTAATCGGGTTTGAGTTGTCGCCTTTGCTAAGTGGCAATCTTAGTGGCCCCCGGTTCTCCTGATTATGGTGCCTCATGAGCTTAGGGCACTGGGGTCCCTCCGACTGCCAAGCAGTCGCAAAAGCGAGTTGGCCCCTCTTCTTATCTCCGATACTGCAGGCTGCGTGTGGAATCTAAGCAAAGAGAGCTGCATACAAGTAAGGCTATTACTATCCACACTTATGCAGCACTTCAATAGCACCAGAAGCTGCTTGCCTGCCGTTTGCTCACCTGCGGACCGATCAGATGCTGGCTATCTCCTTATCATGAAGTAGACGGGTAGATGAGGCAATAAAAATCAAATTTTCGTTTCGTTACTGGCCGTTCGCACACGATTAATTTAATGTTCTGTCTCTTCAGACCGACGTAGACAAAACATGGGGAGATGTTCAAGTAAGCGAGAAAGATCCCGCTGTGGATGATTCGGATGGCGAAGACCGAAAGTGAGGAGACACATGTATTCAACGAAAGCATCATTGCTGTTTGCTAGAACCACAGTAAATAAGACTGATCTGTTGAATGGGATAATTTGCGCCTAATCTGCAGTGATACGGCTTCCATGCTTGCACTTGCCGGCACCTCTTTCGGTGGAGTTGTCGGTTTGACACTCACTGTTGACGGCTGCGCTCCCCATCAAACGCTTCTGCGCCTTACTACTGCTCATGCCTCTGGAAGAATCATGTAAGCAATATCTGGGCAAGGAGACATCCGTACTTCCCAGACACAGAGAGGCTTGCACTTATGCTTGCTGCTGGTGGCCACATCAATGGATCAAGATACACACATCTCATGCATAAATTGTGGGCTCCTTCCATGCACTCCTTGGATATTTGAGGAGCAATAGGGCAAGAACTCATTGTTGTAGTCATACGGTCTATTGAGCGTTCCCACAGAATGCATTTACTTGCAATACAAGGGATGCAAGCGCAACTGTGTGTGATAATGTGGCGTCGTAGGGAGTGGCTGGTTTCTGTGGAGAAAACGGGAAACTGCATGAAAGTTTCCCCAACGCTACAGCACTCCTCCATTATTCAGCAATCCATCAGCTGCCTAGGATACATGATGGATTTTGAGACAGGAAATGAAGGAAACCTAGAGGAGCTGCACGAAAATCAATGCCTTCTGGGCCTTGTTGGTGGGTCTGTCGTCTGGCTGGAAAATGGCAGCACCAGACCAGTCTGCCGGTACGCTCGGTATTATGGTACTACTGCAGCAGATGCTTACGAAACAGTGAATTAATGCCGTTGTATTGAGTATTCCAGGCACATAGAAATGCTTATGCAAGTACAGGACCGAACAAACACAAAAATGAGCAACATGGATCGCCCAGAGTCAACATAATCGCTAGACGTGGAGACAAGCTCCGCTACTTTGCTGGTGCAGGTTTTCAAGTGGTACAATCAAGTGCATTGTAGGGGTCAAGATCAAGGGAATGCCGTCATTGGCTCCTTCATCAAGCTGCATGCACTCTACTGAAGTAGCTGATGGGGGCGGAGATACTGCCTGGGCTGCAGTTTCTTCCAGTGGCGAGGTTGCCTTCTTTCTGGGGCCAGAACGCACTGAAACGAACACCCCTACGACAGTTCTAAAGAGGCTTTTCCTTTCGTCCTGGCTAGACGGGAACACTGCAGACGTATCGCGCATCCTATGTAGCGAAAAAAGGCCTTAAGCGCAGGCTCTGGAACTTCGCATTCGATAGTTACCACCGAAAGCTAGCAGCAGAAAACAATTGTTGTTTGCCTTGCCTGTTTGTCGATTGCAGTCACCGCTAATCAAGGGACATGTGCCTCCCGCTACTCTTCGTATTCCAGAGAATGGAGGCTGCTGGGTAAAAAGGGGAGTTGAAATATGGAGAGAATTTCAGCAGGAACAAGAGCAGCCGACAAGTTTTGCGGGAACCATTATTGGAGTATTTTCTGTTGCATTCTCAACAGCAAGCTTTGGGGCCCCAGTTAGTGGCATCGCCTTGTTCATCCCCCGGGTTGACAGCGAAGAGCTTGCATCATTTCCGCAGGTACGCTTGAGGGAAAATGCATATCATTCGTGCCACTGTGCAACAGTCCCCTGAAAGAAAGTCCCCACAAATAGTACTTTCGGCTTGTTGTCTCTATGGAAGCTGCTACGATTAAAACAACATAAGTGCTATTTTTCACGTATGTTGTTTCAATCGTAGCAACTTCAAGTATGAAACAGTTTTGGCCAGATACTGGCAAGCAACGACACGGGCTGTGCTCAGAGGCTTGGTTTGGGAGTATTTGAAAGGCTCACCGCTGGCGGTTGGATATTTGTGCGCTATTATACCTCTCCATTTTGTTAATTGCAGATTCGCTGCACGCGGCTTAGCATGGCACCACTCTGTATAGCAAGCGAAGGCTCCTTTCTGGCTGCTGGCACTGCATCTGGAGGGGTTGTACTCTTTCACTTGCGAGACGTGTTCGGTGAATCCTGTAGCGGTGCAAGGGCATTCGTGGCTGCTCCAGCTATCACGCCCCTTACATACGTGTCCATTGGCTGCCTTCCGATACAGCGGGTGCGACTGTTGTGCGACATAAGCGAGACAACAAGGGAGCCCGCAAAAGAGAAACATTTTGCTACTGCAGAAAGACCCATTCTGGTGCTTGCGCTTCAAGCGGATGGGCAATTCTTGAGGACGCTGCTTCAACCTGAATTGCTGAGAAGCTCTGCTTCGCGTTCGCTACTAGTAGACAAAAATGCGCAGTACAAAACGCTGGCGAACAAGTGCAACGTTTGTGCAGTAGCCCCGTGTATCACTTCATGGGGAGTTCACCACGCACGATTATCTCTGACCGTCGCAACTGCAAAGGGGCAGGTGGCTGTGGCTACCTTAAGGGAACCAGGCTTGTTCCAGCTTTGGGTGCTTGAGAAGTGCATAGGAAAATTAGAGCCACATGCATGTAGTGACGAGACAGAGCAAGTGACTTCCTTTAGAGTTGAATTTTCTTGGTAAGGTGGCAGCCTTCTGTAGAAGCACTGTCGGCTGTCCTACCCCGTGCCTTACACGGAGCAGATTCACATTTATTTTCGCTACCCAATCCTACATAAATGACAGTACAGCATTACGTGACTCTGAATGCTTGTGCATGCAGTTCAACTTCCTCCAACAGAGCCTCTCCAGAAGGCAAGCTTCTCCAGGATCTCGACGATTTGAAAGAAGCTCATGACGATCCATCTAGTTCACAGTTATTGCCGAAGAAGTCTCGCTTGTATACGTCTCGTCGCTTATCTGCGGCCCCTGATGTGCAAGTACAGATGGAGGCTATTATGCGCGAAAAGCAAGCCATTCAAGAAGAGCTACAGACTTTAGTTGAAAGAGTGACAGTGAGAACACTCCGACATGCATGACAATGGCATTTGCCTCTAGCAACGTCCATCTGCTCTCCCAAAAGGTGTGGAAATGAAACTTTGTTTTGATTTTCCGAGGCGCAAGTATGAACGTGTGGCTGCTTTAGGGCTCGGAGGCTCTTCGCAGTCTGGAAACTGAGGCGGCGAACGTGGACGCCAGTGTCCGCATGATTGTCAACCAACAAGCTATCGCAACTCAAATGGAAAAGCAGCAGCAGCTGCTGCTGCTTCAACACGCATTTTTTGCATTTCACCGCAGCTTGGTGCAGCATTTGCAAGCCTCGATCCTCACTGCTCCCAAGGAGCTCGCTGTTCCTGCGGAGAAACCCGGTAGCGTGATTACTGAGAAGAGCTACCTCCGCTTCCGTCAGCGACCCAGAGATACTATCCTAGAGACAAAGTTTATCTTCTTGAGGAAAGTTTCATGAGCCTAGCTGTCCTCATGAAACGCAGTTTAGGAGCCCTGCATATAGTAGACCAGTGCAGCACAAAACGCTCATACACTGACAGCGCACAAGGAGCCTGCATGGTTGCTATGTTGATGACGCATTTCAGGAAACTACAGCTCAAGGAAGACGAATGGCTAAGACAATTGCTTCCTTCCCATGAATCAATGCTGCAGATGCAACAGGAAGATCTTGCACCTCCTATAGGCGGCTTCGGCAAAAGTGCACAACGCTACTTGGCTTTTTACCATTCATTAGAACAAACTCAAGGTCAGAACCGAATAAACTGCATCGGCTGCGGCTGTGATAAGTGGCTCACCTATGGGAAGAAGCTATTGGGCTCCATTTAGAGGAGCAAAACCCAGGCCAACGCACATCCCGTGCGTTAAAGCGAAAGCCCATGCCTGTTGCCCCAACCGGCGTGCAGACTGTAGCGAGGCTACAAAACCTTCTGTAGAAAGCGCAGTTGCGCCTCAAACGACCCCTGATGGAGCAGGGACAGCGAGCCGCCGGCAAGTGATTTACTCCCAGGAGCCCCTCAAATGTTTAAGCGGGCTATTGAAGATGCCATTTTTGATTGCAACCAATGCCTCACGTCGCATCCAATTCTGGGTTTTGCGCGCGATATTGGCTGAGGTAGGCGAAACGTGCAAAATATTCTAACTCAGCGGAAGCTCTAGATAACAAAATTCGCTACTTTAGCCAATTCAGCGCCTTCGGCGCGCTTGCATTTACGCATGGTAAGAAGAGCTTTGCGAGTGCTTTACTTTCTTCTTGAGATGTACCCATTGAGGTAATGTTCACTAAGACTTGCGCTGCCGGTTACTCAATCACCTGCTTTTGCAGCTCCAAAATTCTTTCAACCGGCGACTAGAGGAGTGTAGTAGCATCGTTCTTCGAAAAATAGACAAAATGCAGCAGTTAGCTACGAAGGCGAGGGAATGCGCAGCCCACATAGGAGAGGCCAATGACCAGTCAGGCCCAGAATTGTCAGTACCCTTGACTGAGGATACAGTAAAGGATCTAGTAAGCGAAAAACGACTTGCTGACTGTGGAGCCGAGCCTATCCCTACATCACATGACCGGAAGTGTAGTTCGTGTTTTCTGCTGAGTATACGCGTCATTATTATCCGGCATTTAGGCAAGCGCACTGGTTGGAGCTCCAAAAACTGCAGATATGCCAGGACTGACGAAAGGAGATCAAGGAACATTGCTGCCTGGTGAAGCAGTCCATCCGACAGACGAAGCTGCCCAGAGAGCTCTTCAAAGAATGATGGGAGGGAAGTTGAAGGCCGAAGACGCACTCAGTGCCCTTGAACTGCAAGCTGACAAATGGTAAGTATTAGAGGCGCTCACAGAAAACAATGTTGCGGCATGAAATAACATAGAAGATAATATGCGCTGTATTCTTGCAAGCCCTTCATGACCAACGAGGTATATCCAACGAAACATTGGCTGAAATTAGATTTGTCCAATTCCACTGCTGCAACAGGGAGGCATGGATGAGAAGTGTTACCCCTGGGGCGATGACAGACGCTCAGGCCGCCAAATATGCAGCTTACCAAGAACAACTGACTGCTCTAAAGGAAAAACAGGGCGCCCTCAAGGAAAAAATTCAAGGAGAGTTAAAAAAAATGAGGTAGGACAGTAAGCCAAAGTGCACACAAATGTCCTTACAGTGACCAAGAAGGAAGAACATCAAACGGTAACATTTTACGGGCTGCGTTTCAACGTTTGGCAATGAGGAAAAACGGTGGACAGAGACAATGTCTCACGCGGGGGATAACCATGCCAGCAGGCAATAAAAATGAAGTAGATTAGGAGGTGGAAGATGCTATTACACATTGCATGGACGTCTGAAAAGCGGCAAGCGACATAGAAAAAGCGTGTTAATTTCCTTTACAGGGACGAGCTTACCTCCACTGCAGCCCAGCTTCGCGCCGACCTTCTCAATCTGAAGGACTGGAAGTAAGACAAAGTTTTGAAGTGCAGATTTGTGCGGCAACACAGCTTTTCAATGAGGCTGGGAACCTCGATGTTACAGAGAAAAACCTCCGCCCTCGGGAGAAAGTAGCCACGTGCACATCGATTTAAATTTGTTTTAGGTGATTCAACAGCCACTGAAAGAAGAGCCCAATTACATGCCTGAGACCAATGTTTCGCACATTAGAAAGGTTTCTTGTCAGGCCAGTAGCGTCGAGGCTTTTTATGCTTCATTCCCGCAACGTGCCATCACCTGGTGGCCTCTCCATCCAACGAAAACAAGCAGTGCTCTAGATTTCCTCTCAGCCAGGCTGTACTGCGGCGCATTCATGTGTTCGCAATAAGCTAGTGCATTGCTATCCTATCCTATTGATTGCACTTGGTAGGCGGGTGTATGAAGAAGAGCTCCTACTCACTGAGTTAGCTAGTGCCCGTCTCACGGACAGCATTGCACAGGAGACCGCAAACGAAACGGCTGAAGCAGAGATTCAGTCAAGGCTTGAGAACTCTACAGCACAGGTACAGCAGCTACATCAAGAGCTTCAAAAGCAGCAGGGTTCATGTTGGCTTCTAGACGATGAGCGCGCCGCAGCACAACACGACCAAAAAACTAAAGGAACTGCACTTCTTGCAGCTCTTGGGCTCGTACATGTTCCATCTGAGACCCTCGCCGCTGTCAATAAGAAGCTTAATGATGCGTGAGGCAGTGGACTTCTAAATTCTATATTTGTATCTCTCAGTCGTTTTTAATTTCTACCTTTCAGCGTCTCCTGTATAGGTTCTAGGGGCTCACTAATAAGAACTGCCCCGGAAGCGAAATGCTCTGTGCGATTCCACTGTAGAGCAGCAATGGATGAAACGCAGCGTCTACGCAAGCCAGCGGAAACACAGGAAGAGCCAGAGCAGGCTCTTCGGAGAGAATGCGCAGCATTGAGTTATCGCCTCGACACTGCAACAGATGCTCTAAAGGTGAGAAGGCGCATGGTATCAGAGTCACATGGTGAAGAGGAGTGGCGTCTCAGGAAAAAGACAGATGTAACCCTGTTAACATGGTGCAGCACCTCATTCATGCCAGCATATTCCTCCGTAGAGTAGATTTCGTTTGTCACAGGCGGAGCTTTCTGCTAGCCCAGATACGTCGCTCTGCAAGGTCTTAGAAGCTTCGCGTGACTCAGTCTTCGCCCAGCAGCGGTTGTTTCTTGCCACGGAGGCTGCAGATGCCGAGCAGCGCAAACTAACTTCAATTAAACAGGTGCGTGACTCCAAAACGGAACAGCGAAGATGATAAAAACAGGTATTTCTAAGTTGAGATTCCTTTCGCAAGCATTAGGTAGAATATCATCTGTTGCAAAATGCGCAAAAATTTGTACCGCAGAGGCTAGAGGAGCACCAGGCAGCAGAAACAGCACTGCGTCTCCAGCTGAACATTTCCTCCGAAGCCCTCGAGCAATCGCGATTAGATGTCGATTTGCTACTGCGAATTAAAAGAGGCACTGTCGGAGAGCTTCCTGATGCAGTTGCACCACTGCATGAGCCGTTTGACTTCTCTGATTCATGCCTTGTTAGCCAGGAAGCAGTAGATGCCTACAAGCAAGATATTATCTCCGGGGGGCGGCAGAAGCTAAAGCTGCTTGAAGCCATGAAAGTCAGGCACAAACCAAACGCTCATTCGTCAGTCGATGGGACTAAGAGATACACATGTGGATCTTTGTGAAGTCGACGCATCATTCTCGTTGGATGCACATTGGTGCAGGCACTCCGCCGGCAAGTAGAGTCTCTGCAATGGCGAACAAGGCTACTGGAACTAGAGGCAATAGATGTGTCTGAGAGAACAAAAGATGTTCATCTACTACGCATTACTAGAAGCATGCAGCGAATTTTGCAAATGCCAGGTAGGCTGCAATGCAAAATTCACGATGGCGGTGTCTTGTGACACAAAAGCTCAGGCTAATGCTCTTGGGTATCACTTGCTAGCTTACACAGCAAGAGAATAGGACAGCAAAGGCTGGTAAACACGACTAATTCAATCGGAAGAATAAAAGTTTTGTTCACAGGAACCTGGTTCAGGTTAGTATATTTGGCTAGGTCAGGATTTCGGCAACGAAACTGCTCAGTGCTTCGGCCAAGCCGTTAGTTTTGCTTATAGGTTTTTTTTTTCTCAGGAGGAAGTATATCAACTGCGCGAGCAAGGAACTCTAATAAAGAGCAAAGCGTGTCTGCAGCTGGCCCAAGTAGCCAAAGCTGGGCTTCTCAGGTGCCTGCTGATGCCCTGAAAGATACCCAAAAAGGTGACAACGAGGTTGAGTCACTGGAAGAGGCGAAGGTGAAGCTGAAGAAAAAGATGGCAGCGGTGCTAGCCGAAATAAAGCAACGGGTACGCCAACAGGCTTAGCTTTTCGCTTTCGTTTTGGATAGCAATGGCACAAATTCGCTTCGTAGTGCTGCCACTGGCCGCAGAAACTGAAGGCGCGTACAGGAGAAGCATGAAATTAAGCGAATTAGACAGTCCATCCGGCCAAGAATAATAAGAAAAATAAATCCTTTCTGGTGCAATGGGCAGCTATTAGGTAACTGCCGCTCTGCAGGAAACCGCTATAAAGCGAATGGAGGGGCAGCTGCAGCGTGTCGAGCAAAACCGAGATTTTAAGCAGCGTGTTGTAGTTCTACGCCGTGCCCAGGATCACCAGTCCAACTTGCGTGAGTCCAACGCGACATTTGCCAGGCTTCAGAAAAACCATTCATTTGTTCAAAGCTACCAGCTGGTCCTGGATTTATCTGCACACAAAATTTGTTGCGTGTTGAGCAGCCTGGGGCCCAACTTTGGCTACAGTGCGTAGTCCATTACTATGCTCAGGCGCTGCCGGAAAAATGCGAGCTCTTACGTGGGAGCCAGCAGACCAAATACGAGTTTTGTCTCGAATGCAAGCTCGAATACTGGAAAAGGAGGAGCTGATAAACTCCCTCAAGGCAGAGCTAAATAGATTAAGGGAACGAAACGTCATATTTTATCAGGATGCACCAGAAATTGGCCCCCTTTCGCATAAACCAGGCCCTGAAAGGTAGACCCCGGGCATAAGAGAGGCAGATGCGAGGGCCTGTGGATCTTTTAGAGCCTTAAGCTCACCTGAAAAACTCCAGGTCCACTATCTGGTGTTATCTCTCACGCTTTTTATTCGCTTGAGAGGGTGCAGCATTCTGCAGCATTGAACTATAACACTGCACAAGAAAAAGGCTCCGCGACCTTATGATGTTGCAAGAAGCAAACGTGCTTCTGTGTAGCGGGCGACTCAACGATATGGGAAAATCCGAGCCCAAAGAAAGCTAGTTGGTATTGTTGAGATGCGTGGAAGCAGCGGAATATGCACTGAAAAGAGCTGCTGAGCATCCAGTCCAGCTTTTGATCCAAAATAATATTAGATTTATTCTGGTCCTTGAGAAGCCCCGGCAATAGCCCTCATTCTGCTAGTGCTATGCTAAAGCGTAGTGTACTCATTTCGAGGCCAATTATGTGCTGTTTTCCTAAATAAGACGATGACCTTGCAATGAACACCGAAGCACGTGCACAAAATAATGAGCTCTGGGGTAAACAACACAGCCAGGAAAACAAAGCCAAAAGTGGCGCAGCTCAGATACCTACAGTGTGAATGCCGACCTCCCTCGAATGCCTTCAAAAGCAAAACAAAGCATGAATAATAATCTTGTGCTACTTACAGCTTGCACCTCGGCGCGCAACAAATATCTTAAACTCTCGTATTCATATACAGCGCCTCTTGCAGCCACGATTCTACAGATATCAAAAAACACGAAGCAGCAAAGGTGGCGTCGACCTTAGGTCACCAAAAGCAGGTGGTTGCTCCAAACACTATGGCTAGCATGCACTTGACTAGTAGACCCAAAGATCCGCAAGCAGACACAAACATTCGGCATAGTGAATCATGCTTCGGGGAGATCTTTAGTACATTGTTCTGGAACTCCCGGCTGAGGCAGCTACGGCAGCTACCCCTGAAAAGTACAGCATGCAACGGGTAAGAACTTACCAGAGAAATAGGAGATGTACGGGCGTTCCTTGAGGAAAGCGAAACTAAGCCGATACTAAATATGGAAAGGGAATACGAACAGCTAGTCCTTATCATCTCTCGGGGAACGTAAACTGCCTTCGCAACTGACATAAAAATTGGAAAAAAATTTGCTCTTGCCAGCTGCCACTGCACTGGCTCCCAACCCGCGCCGTCGCTCTCACTGGAGTAATGATCATGGCATGATGGAGAAGGCTCAGCACGCTAACCGATTCGGAGAATCGTGGCCACCGCGACCTAATCCTAAAGCCGCAATGCTTTCAGTTTGGATTATCTCAAACCATTTACACAAAGGTGCCACACATTGGAAGCCACAGCTCTGCAGTCACACTTGGTCCTTTCCACTGCACAGGGCAAATTCTTTCAAGAGACGGTTGCTCGGACGTGTGGTCCCATCAGGAGTTCTGTGCTGGTGTGCTACCATGTTGCGGTAACATGGCGTCCCGCCCTCGCTCTCACCAGAGGAAATGGAGAGGTCATGATAGAGAAAGCTCAGCACGATATCCAGTTCGGTGAACCGCGGCCACTGCGAGCTAGCCCTAAAGCCCGAGTGCTTCGAGTTCGGATCATGTCTCAGAATTTACATGGAAGTGCTACACTATGGAAGCTACAACTCCGCAGTCATAGTTAGTCCCTTCCATTTCACATGAGAAAACTCTTTCAAAAGTCGGTTGCTCGGAGATGTTGTCCCATCAGAAGCTCTGTGCTGGTATGCTACTATGCTGCGCGAATATGGTAACTTCACGAGCCCCACTTTTCGATCCATCCACATGCAGAGCACATGCCTTGGTACTTCATATGACAAAACGGTTCTTGTAGACAAGTGGGATACTTTGCATTGAGTTCCTGGTATAAGACTGCTCTTCATTGAGACGATCTTAATTCGGTGACCCCAGTCGCTCCATGGTGAGCTGATCTCTTTCTAGCGTAGTCATCCACCTAGCCCCAAGTATACTACTTTAAAACGAGAAGTATGAATTACGTTTACAGAGTAAGCTTTAACATTTTGGGCCACCTGCAGCGCACTTTTTTTTGGAGGCAGCCAGGGAACACTCGCGCACAAGCGTGAGGCCCACACAGTGTGTAAACATTCAGGGCTGGCGGAGTTCTATATTAACCCAATCCAATGGATTTTTACGCAATGAAACTTTTAGAAAGGCTTTTTATTGTGAGTCACAGCAGCTGAATGAGCAGCCCACTGTTATTTGTTATTTGGCAGCAGCGCCCACCCAGGGAGCTCCTCCACCCAGAAACGGACCTGCTATCAGGGAGATTTCCATGTCAAGTTTTATTCTTTTTTCATTAGGTCAACGTTTCTAGCGTTGTTGAGCTTGTCAATGTAGGCCTAGATGGAAATTTAGTGACTTTAGGAGTCGCCCCAGTAGTGTCAGGGGTTCGGGCAGGACCCCACGCAATGAAAATAGTGCTGTTGAATACACTCGCCAAACTTGTGGTATTCACTGTTAAAGCTGATCAAGATATGTAACTCACTTTTCTCACTGTCGTGCTTCGCTTGAGGACTCAGGTGCTGCCTAGTGCTACGTAAAGAAGGCACGTTCCCGCGCCGCAGTTAACCAGAAAAACAGTAAGCTAGTTAAGTCCCATATTAGGACTTGCATCCTTGAGCAACAGGCTTCTCTCGGCTTGCTCCGAGTGCACTTAGCTATCAAAATCCCCATAGGAGGGAATGTCCTAGAACTTTGCCCCCTACAGTATCGAGGAACCCGATGTACACAGTAACTGCTTCCTTGCGTTTTGGTTGTTTTCTAGCCTGCCAATGCAAGAAGCTCCTCCTGCTGCTCCATTGGTGGACGTCAACCAAAATTCGCAAATAATATCCCTGAGTCCTGGCAGTGGTATTTCCAGGAGAACACCACCTGCCACACTTTTTTGTTACCCGCAGTCTGGATGTGAGACCAGGCAACGCTAGGCAGACCTTAAGCCAAATTTGCTGCAGCATCTTTATTGAAGGGTGTCGAAGGCTGGATCAGAATGACGCAGGAAGAGCCTGAGAGTCAGACTTCGGCGCCACTTGAGGATAGGCAAAAGGGCGCAAGCACCCTCAATTGTGTAGCGGAAAATCCTAGAGGAATACCAGAGGAGGGAAGCTTCACTACTCCAGATGACTACTGGTCTTTGGCAGCAACAGAATACCTAGCTCGGTGGCTCATTGCTCAAATTCAGTTGCCTGGCTTCGTGGCAGATGAAGACTGGACACCGGACCACACGAAGGAATTCGCGAAATTTTGCAACTCTAAAGAGCGGCAGCGTTGGTTTTTGTGGATGAGCAGGCGCCCTCGCCCACCTCTTCCTAGAGGTAGCGAGGAAGATGGATCTACGGCTGAAAGGTGGGGTCTCTCGCGGCTTATGTTCAGCGATGAACTTCCTGTACATTGCGCTGGCCCTATGCTGCAGCACGGCGGTGTGCAGCAGGAAAGTGCAAGTGCACTCGTGTTCGTCAGTAAGCGGGATGCTTCAAAGGTGAAACGAGACGCTCCGGAGGAGCAACTGCTATGTGTCTCGTTCCACGGTGGCGTTCTTGAAGGCGTGGTCGCATTTATTCGTGGGGTGTACATACCCGTTCTTGGACAAAATCACGCATGGCCGCAAAGTTTTAAGAAGGAAGTCTTGAAAAGAGTAAGATGAAATACTGGTATCGCACAATGGCTGCAAGCAAATAGTAGGACAAGTATTAATGCATTTGCTGGAAAAATGACAGAATAATGACTTGAATAATGCAAGGAACAAATCACTACATGAGCTGTGCTCGCAGCTGAGTAACTATGTTAGCCGAATGACGGACATAGTTCATCGTGCCCAGGGCTGCGCAACGCTTGTCCTCCCACTTGAAGACCTAACAGATGTCGCTGCATGCCTGCGTGATCGTGACCTTGTTCAACGCCTGGAGGCACTGGCAGCATCGTGGACACGGCAGGTGAAGGAAACATTGGCGCTCCAGGTGCATCTATAGTCAGGTCGTCCCATTAGTGGTTTTCTTTCGCGTAGGCACGCCATATCCCGAGTAGCGTAGTTGCTTGCGCCTTTTAGCTTTCCAAACTCCCAGCTGAGCCTCAGAGAGCGTTCTGTAATCAATCTCCTTTTTCTCAGGAGGGATCAGAGGGAGCGATCGACTCAGGGCATCTCGGGGAAATCCAGAGGTGGACTGAGTATGCACAGAATTTGAGCTCACTCTTAAGACAGTTTCAGGAGCCATCACTCCAATCCGCCCTCAAGATACTCGACGCTGCGAAGTCGGCATACGTCATGCAGTTCCAGTATGTGCCCTGAAGGACCTGCCATTAGCATTCCATTAGAA